TAGTAGTAGTAGTAGAAGTAGTAGTAGTAGTAGTAGTAGCAGTAGCAGTAGCAGTAGTAGTAGTAGTAGTAGTAGTAGTAGTAGTAGTAGTAGTAGTAGTAGTAGTAGTAGTAGTAGTAGTAGTAGTAGTAGTAGTAGGTAATAGTGATAGTAGCCGTAGTAGTAGTGGTAGTCGTAATAGTAGTCGTAGTCGTCGTTGTGGTCGCAGCGGTAGTAGTAGTAGTAGTAGTAGTAGTAGTAGTAGCAGTAGTAGTATAGTAGTAGTAGTAGGAGTAGGAGTAGTAGTAGTAGTAGTAGTAGTAGTAGTAGTAGTACTAGTACTAGTAGCCGTGGTGTAGCAGGAGCAGTGGCAGTAGCAATGGCAGTAGAAGTAGTAGTAGTAGTAGTAGTAGTAGTAGTCGTAGTAGTAGTAGTAGTAGTAGTAGTAGTAGTCGTAGTCGTAGTCGTAGTCGTCGTCGTAGTCGTAGTCGTAGTAGTAGTAGTAGTAGTCGTCGTCGTCGTCGTCGTCGTCGTCGTCGTCGTCGTCGTCGTCGTCGCCGTCGTCGTCGTCGTCGTCGTCGTCGTCGTCGTCGTCGTCGTCGTCGTCGTCGTCGTCGTCGTCGTCGTCGTCGTCGTCATCGTAGGGGTGTTAGTAGTAGTGGTAGTAGTAGGACTATGTGTAATAGTAGTAACAGTAGTCGTCATTGTCGCCGCCTTCGCAGCATTCGTCACTGCAGTAGCAGCAGTAGGAGCAAAGGGGCAAAGGGGCAAAGGGTGTGATGAGGAGGAAGGGCAACAATCGCAACCGCAGCCCTGACAGTGCCTGCGGGAAGGAGGAGCCCGAAACACCAAAGCCCAGCAACAAAGGACCTGGGCGCCAGCCTGGACGACATCTTCGGCGAGTTCGAGCCCAAGCCCATCGCTGCGGCCCTGAAGCGGGGGATGGCTTCCTGAGGGGGACCCAGGCTGCATGCAAGAGGGGGAGCGGGAGGAGGGATCTGGGAGGGTTCGGAAGGGATGAGGGAGAGGGATGTTGTTGATGTTGCTGCCGGGTGCGACTAATCTCTTGATGAGTATGACGATCATGATGACGATGGCGATGCTGATGATGACGATGCCGATGATGATTCTGATGATGATGAAGGATAGGATGAACAAACGATGAAGCTGACGACGACGATGCTGGTGTTGATGATGTTGATGGTGGCTGTGATGGTGACGACACCGGCGCCGACGATGATCATGGTAATGATAACGATGATGAGAATGATAATGATGATGATGCTGATTTTGAGGCTGACGACAGTGACGATGAAGATGACGATACTATTGACGATGGCAAATGTGATTATGATGCTGACAATGACGGTGGAGGTGGTGATGATCAGGAGGATGACGATGATGATGATGATGAGGATGGTGAGGATGAGGATGGTGATGATGATGCTGATGATGATGGTGGTGCTGGTGCTGGTGATGCTGACAATGCTGATGCTGATGCTGATGCTGAGGTTGATCATGATGTTGATGATGTTGGTGGTGGTGATCATGATGCTGATAATGAGGATCATAAGGATGGGGATGAGGATGCTGATTGTGATGATGATCATGATGATGGTGATGATGACCTGATTGTTCTGTTGACGTTGATGCTGATGATGATGTTTATGGTGGTGGTGGTGATGATGCTGCTTGTGATGATGATGCTGATGATGGTGATGATGATGACGGTGATTGAGGTTGTTGTGGTGGTGATGCTGCTGATGATGATGACGACGACGACCACGATGATAATGATGCTGATGCTGATGACGATGCTTGCGATGGTGCTTGTGATGGTTATGGTCATGGTAATGATAACGAGGAGGATGAGGATGAGGATGAGGATAATTACGATGATGATGCTGATGATGATGCTGATGCTGATGATGATGATGATGATGATGATGATGATGATGATGATGATGATTTGGGTGAGGATGGGGGCGATCATGATGATGCTGAGTATGCTGATGATGCTGGTGAAGGTGATGATGAGGAGGATGCGGATGCGGATGCGATCAGAGATGATCCTGATGATGAGGAGTATGATTGTTATTTTGATGATGCGGATGATGGCGATGATGACGATGTTGATGATGGTGATAAAATGAAAATGGTGAGGATGATGCTGATGCTGATGATGATGAGGAGGATGAAAACGATGATGAGGGTGATAATGAGGATACGGATTAGGATGTGGATGAGGATGCGGATGCGGATGAAGGTGATCATGCTGACAAGGGGGACGATGAGGATGACTATGCGGATGGTGATGATGATGATGACGATGATGATGATGATGGTGATGATGATGATGATGATGACGATGATGATGATGATGATGGTGATGATGGTGATGATGATGATGGTGGTGTTGATCATGATGATGACGATCATGAGGAGGATGGTGCTGGTGATGAGGAGGAGGAGGGTGATGACGCTGCTAATGATAAGGCTGTTGATGATGGTGGTGATGATAATGCTGCTGCTGTTGTTGATGACGATGATGTTGATGGTGATGATGTAGGCCTTGATGGCGATGCTGATTAGGCGGTTGCGGAGGAGTGGGAAGGGGGAAAGTCAGGGGCAGGAGGGGCAGGAGGAGGAGGAGGAGGAGGAGGAGGAGGAGGAGGAGGAGGAGGAGGAGGAGGAGGAGGAGGAGGAGGAGGAGGAGGAGGAGAGGGGGGAGGGGGGAGGGTGGAGAGCGAGTTGGGGAGTTTGTGCACGAGGAGCAAGGGTAAGGAGAGGGGAGGGGAAGAGGAGGAGGAAGAGAAAATGGGTGGCAGAGGGAGGAGGAGGAGGAGGAGGAGGAGGAGGAGGAGGAGGAGGAGGAGGAGGAGGAGGAGGAGGGCATTGCCTTGCTTCTGCCGTCCTGATCAGCTGTGCAATCGGCATGGGCGCGGAGCCGACGACGAGGGCTCACCCAGCCCCAGGCCCACCCTGGGCGGCACGGAGTTGCCTCGCGAGAGCTGCGCTGGAGGTGGGTGCCGACTTGAGCTACTCCAGATTTCGTAATAAAGGGAGGGGGGTCTCATTTCGGGGGGGGTCTCTTCCAATCTATCTTGGAGGGCCTGGGGGGGTCTGGGGACGATGTTTTGGGGGGTTCTCCCACGGGGGGGGGTCTGAAATGGCTGGTCTTGGAGGGTCCAGACCCCCTCCCTTTTATTACGAAATCTGGAGTATCCGTCCCACGGCTTGTCTTGCAAGCTTTGCGCCCTCGGCCATTTCGCGAACGAGCGACCCCCAGCATTGTGGCTGATCCTTCTTCGCCCCTGCTTTTCGCTCGAGCTGATCCTTGCTTGCCGCCGATGATTGCCCCCCGCCCTCCCTGCACGGCCTGATCTTAGCACTGTGGATGATGCTCTCGGGCTCCAGCGTTGCCCTCCGCGCCTTCATCCCATCACTGCAGCTGATGACCTCGGGCTCCAGCTTCGCGTTCCACGTCCAGCCCGGTGGCGGTGGGGCCAGTGAGGGCTGCTGCCACGGCTGGCCCTTCTCGCGCGCGCTGCTGCTATCAGGTTCCAGCTTCACTTCCAGCTTCTCGCATGCCCTGACTCCCGCTCTGTAGCTGACGATCTCGTGCTCTACCTTCGCCTTCCACTTGCCTTTGTCTTCTCGCAATGCCAACGCCTGCTGCCACTGCTTGCCCTTCTCTCCTTGACGACGCCCGCTGCCACAGCCTGCCGTCTCGCACGAACTGCTCCTCGGTTTGGCGTCTCTCGCACGAAATGGCCCCAGCACTGCAACTAATGACCTTGGCTCGCGCGTTCTCGCCTCACCCACGCGAACTGGCCCTGGCCCTGTAGTTGGTGACGTTTGCCCGCGCGGGCTCGCCTTTGAAGTACGGTCAGCTCCCAGCGCTGTAGCTGATGATGTCGGCCTGCGCCTCGCTTCTCGCACTGTCGTTGATGATATGTGGCTCATTTATGCTGCCACTGCCTGGCTCCTCGCACTGTCAGCCACCGCTGCCACTGCGTGCTGTCTCGCACCAACAGCCCACGCTGCCACTGCCTGGCTTCTCTCATGAGCTGCCCCAAGTAGCATTGTAGCTCATGACATGTAGCTCGCGCTACTGCCACTCCCTGGCTTCTCGCACTGTCAGCCAACGCTGCCACTGCCTGCTGTCTCGCACCAACATCCCACGCTGCCACTACCTCGGTTCTCGCACGAGCTGGACCCAGCAGCATTGTAGCTGATGACATGTAGCTCGCGCTGCTGCCTGTGCCTGCCTTCTCGCACCGACAGCCCTGGCTGCCACTGCCTGCTTTCTCGCACGAGCCGCTCCCAGCACCGTAGCCGATCGTGGCTGACTCCTGCTCCTCGTTCTGGCGGCGGCGGCGGAGGTCAATGGTTTACCCAGTGCCACGGTGGGCTTCTCGCATTTACAGTCCATGCTGCCACCGCTTGCCTTCTCGCACGAGCTTCCCACAGCCTCGATGTAGCCGATGGCGTTTGGCTCTTGCTTCCTCCGCGGCCCGCGCCTCGACGACACGTGTACGAGCTGGTCCCAGCGTTGTAGCCTGATGATTGTGCTGTCCTCGAGGGTGGAATCCTCCACTGCTGCAGCGGCGCCCGCATCGGCGGTCGCTGCTCGCCAGGGGGCGGAGGAGGGGGTGGAAAAGGAGGGGGAGGCGAGCGGGGAGGGGACGGAAGAGGGCTCGCCGGGCTCGCCTCTGGGCTGTGTTGCGCGCGGCCGATCTCAGCACTGCAGCTGATTGATGCCGGAGGCCGCGTCTCCCGAGAGCCCTCGAGCGCCGGGCCACTCCGAGGTCGGCGCTCGAAGCGCCCGCGCGCGCGCCCCGTGCGGGGGGGGGGGGGCTCGGGCGCGAAATGGCTAGGAGGAGGAGGAGGAGGAGGAGGAGGAGGAGGAGGAGGAGGAGGAGGACGAGGACGAGGACGAGGGCGAGTGGGAGGAAGAGGCGACGAGAGCCAGATCGGACCTGTGGCTAGAGCGGGATCGCGGCAGCAGCCGGAGGAGGAGGGGTAGCTTGGGCCTCCCTTGGGAAGCCCGCCTGCTGCCCTCGGAGCGGCGGCCACGTCGCCTCCGCCAGTATCGGCCAGGCCCACGTGGCGCGGCTGCGCAGCGGGGGCGAGAAGGCGCGCGCCGGCGGGGGGGGGGGCGGGCGCGGGCGCGGCGCGTTCCGGCTTGGCGCGTCGGCGTTCGAGGAACGAGAGATCGGGGGCGGAAAAGAGGGGGGTGATGATTAGGGGGGGGGATATCATGGCGTGGGTCATGATTTTTCCCCTGATCTCTTGGCGCCTCTTCTTATTTAATCGCTTCGCTCATTCCGCCGGCCCATATTGTCGCACCGTTGTGGGCTAGCCGAGTTTTGGGGGCCGTTTTGGGGCCTCTTGGGGCCTCTTTTGGGCCTCTTGGGCGCCTCTTGGGGCGTCTTGGGGGCCTCTTGGGGGCCTCTTGGGGCCTTTTTGGGGCCTCCTGGGCGCCTTCTGGGGCGGAGGGCTCGATTTTTCAGTTCTCGGTTCCCCTCTTGAGCCCCTCTTGGGCCCGTCTTGGGGCCTCTTGGTCCGTCTTGGGCGGCACTTGGGCCGTCTTGGGGGCCCTCCTGGGCCGTTCCGGGGCCGTCTTGGGAGCCTCGTGGGCCGTCTTGGAGCGGTCTTGGGGGCCTCTTGGGCCGTCTTGGAGCGTCCGGAAGCCGAAAAAGCCAGAACACAAAAAACATCGAAAAAAACCAATGAAAATCAACGATTTTGGCCTCTTGGGGCTCTCTTCGGAGGCCTCTTGGAAGGCTCTTGGGGCGTCTTGAAGGCCTCTTCGGCTGTCTTGGGGGTCTCTTGGGCCGTCTTGGGGTCATCTTCGGCGCCTTGGAGCGCTCTTTGAACGTCTCGGGGGCCTCTTGAGCAATCTTGGGGGCCTCTTGGGGCACTCTTGGCGCGCTCAGGGCGGCCTGAGAGGCCGCACCCAGAAGGAAAACCATCTCTGAGTTGAACCGGGCGGGACCTTCCAGGCGGCGGGCGGGGTACTTTTCGCCGGGGGACCCCCAGGGGCCGCCCCGCGCGCGCGAACTAGTACAATACAATTGTTAACCAGTTACCGGAGATCTTAGCACGCCTCTGGCCCGTTGGGCCGGCGAATTTCAATACGTCCCCGGCCCTCCCGCTGGGCCGCGCACATGCCGCCGGTCATGATTTGCACCCCCCCCCTCTTGGACACCCCCCTCTTGGCCGCTCCCGAAGAGACGAAAGCAGCAAATTCTCGGAGGCCCGCGCGGATTGCTGAGACATCCGCGCGGACCTCCGAACAGATAGGCTCATGTCGTCTGTTTCTTCCTCCAGGTGTGGCGCGGCTGCGGCGGGGGCGGCGATGACCTAAGAGCCAGATGACTCGTCTCTGGTCGCCGAAAGAGAAAGCACAGTAGGCGTACTTGACCCCTTGCACTCCAGCCGGCGGAACCGGAAGGTGCACGGCACCCGGCACAGCATCCGCCACGCCATCTCGCGGACTTCTCGGCTGTGCGGAGCGACGCGCTCTCAGCTTGACGGGCACATAGCGTGTCGCCCGGGCAGCTGCCGCGACACGCCGCGCAACAGTTCCGATCGGGCACAGCTTGTCGACGTGGCCTCGAGGTGGCCCCAGGCCCCCCCGACGTCGATGAGCCTCGAGGCTCCTGGAGATCGTCGAGGGGCCTCGAGATCGTCGAGGAGCCTCGAGGCTCCCCGAAATCGTCGAGGAGCCTCGAGAGCCGCCGCGATTGCCGGTGCCTGCTGGCGCGGCGGCGCAGCGGCTGCGGGGGTGAGGGCCCAGGACCTGGGAGAAGGCTCGGCAGGCGACTGCTCGCCGCCGTGTCCCCGAGTGTCCCCCTCCCCCTGGGGGGACTGTTCCTCGCCCGCCTATTCCCCCTTCTCCTCCTCCTCCTCCTCCTCCTCCTCCTCCTCCTCCTCCTCCTCCTCCTCCTCCTCCTTCTCCTCGTCCTCGTCCTCGTCCTCCTCCTCCTCCTCCTCCTCCTCTGGCCTCAGGGGTAGCGCCAAGGGGGGGATGGGCTCAGGGGGCACGCGTCGACCGCAAGTCGCTCGTGGATCGCCGCTGGGGGGCCTGGTCGCCCACCCTGCCCAGGAACGTGCGGGCTCGGCATCGGGGGCCTATGCCTGATCCATCTGCGATGCATCGCCGATTCCAGGCCGATGTTTCCCCCCCGAGCCCGTCCCCTCGTAACGCTCCCCCCCACGGCCGCTCAGAAGAGGAGGGGAGCTCGGGGCTACATTCCTGCGGGGCTATTCGGACGCGTCCCGAGCGAGGATGAACGCTCCCCCCATTGTGTGTGTGTGTGTCTCCGAGTGTGTTTTGCCCATCGATCGCCCAGACCACATCTGGTGGGAGGAGGCATGGGCAGGTGAAGGTGGGGGGCGATCAGGAGGGTAAACGGAGATGCCCATGAACATTTGCGAGAATCGGGGAAGCCAGGAGCCATAACATCCAGGAGCTATGGAATCATGTGGAGGCGGTAGGAGTTGTGCCGATCTATGTTCGTCTGCCTGGGCCCCTGGAGACGGGGGGAGGAGTCGGGGCCCGACCGCGGGGCTCGGCCCGTCTTCTGGCCTCGGATGCTGCCGGGTGCCCAGGGAGACCCGCCGACCAAGATGAGACACAGGTCACCGGCGCGTGCGAGAAGCAAACGACCATCCGCGGACGACGATGTGTTGAGAACAGGCACGGGAGCGCGGCGCCCGAAAGCTTCCCCGAAGAGTCCGCACGACCAAGGCTGTCCGCGGTGTCACCAACGCCTCGTGAGTACGAAACGTGCACGGGGCTGGACGTCTTGCTCGGTGGCTCCATTCTGCGCGGCCGTTTTTTTTTTACCGCACGCCCCGGTAGTGTCGTTCCACCGATCCCTGTCTCGGCGGCGCGCCCTGGGGGTGGGTCTTCTCAGGGGGTGTGGGGGGAGCTTCTCAGAAGCTCCCCGGCCTTCTGAGAAGTTCGCTGCGCTTTCGGTAAGGGCTCATCAGGACACCTCTCAGAAGGCCTGGGGGGCTTGAAAGATTTCTAAAAAAAAAGGCCTTCTCCTTCTCACTTCCCCTCCAGGCTCACCGCCGAATGAGACAGGCCAACATCGTTCATCCGATCTTTGCCCCATCCCCATCCCGATCCCCACCATCCCACCACCCCAGTGGGGGATATGCCCCTCGAAACCCCAAGGGAGCAGCCTATATCCCCACTTGGGAGGGGCAAATCCTGTGCCAGCGGGGGCTTCGGCGGCCCCAGGACGGCCCCACGAGGGCGCCCAGAAGAGGAACCCGAATGAACATGTCGAGCTTTCGGTCCCAAGAGGCCTCCAGGAGGCTCTAAGAGGCTCCCAGGAGGCCCCCAACAGGCCCCAAGAGAGCCCCAAGAGAGCCCCGAGAGCCTCCCAAAAAGCCCCCAGGATGGCCCCCAAGAGGCCCCTAAAATCCGCCGCAAAGGCCCCCGAGAGCTCTCCCGAGAGACCCCAGGAAGCGCCCATGAGGACTCCGACCCGAAATCCAAGCACGGTGGCGGGATGGGCCGACGGCTATTTGATAGCTGGCATACGTGCCGCGTCACGACGTTCGATGCTGCGCACCACTTCGACAAACTCCCAGGGATCAGCCGGTGATGCGCCGCTGGGGTCCTCGATGTAGTGGGCGGTGGTTGACGCATGCGGGCGGTGCCACTGGGGTCTTCGGTGGAGCTCCCTGTGGGCCTACGAAACGCTGTAGTGGGTGGTGGCTGACGCACGGGCAGTGCCACTGGGGCCTTCGGTGGAGCTCCCCTTATGGGGCCACGAAGCGCTGTGCTGGTTGGTGGCAGACGCATGCGGGCGGTACCACTGGGGCCTTCGGTGGAGTTCCCGATGGGGCCACGAAGCGCTGTACTGGGTGGTGGCTGACGCATGCGGGCGGTGCCACCGGGGCCTTCGGTGGAGCCCGCTTTATGGGGCCACGAAACGCTGTGCTCGGTGGTGGCTGACGCATGCGGGCGGTGCCACTGGGACCTTCGGTGGAGCTCCCTATGGAACTACGAAGCGCAGTAGTGGGTGGTGGCAGGCGCATGCGGGCGGTGCCACTGGCGCGTTCGGTAGAGCCCCGTAAGGGGCCATGAAACGCTGTGCTAGGTGGCGGCTGACGCATGCGGGCGGTCCCACCGGGGGTTTCGGTGGAATGGGGCCACGAAGCGTGTGAGGGGTGTTCCGAAACTGTGGACAGTCGGAGGGCAGAGGCAAGGGATGGGAGGAGTGGGAGGAGAAGAAGGAAGGAGGACGATAGAAGGAGGAAGGAACGCGGGGACCGTTTCTACAAAACGAGGACCCAACACCACAGCATGGTTGGGAAAAACATCGGTTTCGGAAATGGATTTTTTGATATGGGCGACACGTTGCGCGTAGGGTTTCAAGATTCTTTCGGATAACATCGAATTGCGTAAAACATTGTTTCTGAGTTGCGCAGGGATTTCTTGGATCTGCGCTGGCCCCCCCCTGGCGACGCCTCCTGCGTCGCCCCTGGCGCGCTGCGCCAGGGAGGGGGGTCCAGCGCCGATCCCAGAAATCCGCGTGGCTTTTCCCAGAGAAATTGTGCTTCTGCCGCTTTGCTGTTGTATAGATTCCCCGAGAATGCCTGCGTCAAGTTCTCCCGGCGTACAACAAGCCCGCGTGGTAAGGATGGGCAACCGTCCCAGGGGTGCCCTTGAATCCTTGCCCTTTCGACCCATCGTTAGCGACTTTCCTTGGCCAGCCTCGTTGGAGAAACGTCACCGTCGGCCTTTGAGGCCCTCGCATCCTTACTCAAGCAGGGGCGAAGCGTCCTGGCGTGCCTATAGGCCTACCAAACAATGTTCTAAGAACTTGTTGTGGTTTCCGCGAAATGTTAGAACAGTTTTGACTGGGACTGTCTTATTTTAACGCATCGGGTATATGTTCTAAGAACATTGTTTTTGTGATTAAAACATTGCTGGGTTCTAAAAGCATAGAGTGGTAGGCCTATAGGAATGCCGGGACGGTCGGTTCCCGCTCAACCTTTTTTCTGCGCATCCTTCTGATATGGGCTGACTGTAGGTTTTTTGGAGGAGAGCGGGTTGTCCACTCTCCCCGTCTTTCTGCCCCCGGACGCACGCGTGCGCTTCGGATGTGTGGATGTTGCTTTGGATGTATCGCAGTGTTCGGTAGCAAATCATGGGAGCCCTGTGTGCCCTCACAATTCTGTCTTCAGCGTCGGTTCGCGAAGGCTCGGCGCAGGACGGCGAGCTGCTATAGGCCATCCCCCAGCGCACACACACCCTCCGAGCGGCGCTCAGCCAAGCCTCAGGAGCAACCTCCTCCACCTCCCTCCTCCTCCCTCCTCTTCCCCATTCCAAGAGAAAGGGCAGTGCACAGTGCAGTGGGGAGATGTGACGGACGACGACGACGAATGACATCAGTGGTGAGCGCTTATCGCATCGGGTCCAAGCCGTTGAATCCCTCGAAATCCGCCCCCAAGTCGCGAGACACAGATGGGTTACGTGGCGTATGGAGTTCACGACACTCATTTTGCGCATGCACCTGACTCACATCTGCAAACGTCACACGATCTAAATATGTAAAGAATGCGGTCAGCACCCTGCACATCCTTGATGGATATGATTTGGCCTCAGTTGTCCTCCACTTACCCTCAGCCGTGCTCCCCTCCAAGATCAGGTGGGTGTGTCCGCGGTCACACCTGGCGTTATTCGGGGCACAACACAGCAATTCCTTGAGGGAGTGACACTGACTTGCCATCAAGCGCGTTGGCTTAATGCTCGGGCCCCCAGCACACATGGATCAATTCGAATTATTTGCGCCATATCCCCCCACAGTCCCGCCAGGTGTTTTACTTACTCCAGCTTCCATATGCAGGGCGCGTCAGGTAAATGATCCAGTGGGGCAGGGTGCACAATCACCATGGGGGTCTGCGTCAGGAAATACCTGTGCGCCAACACTATCGTTGTGCGTAACAAGATGTTACCTACTTGCAGCTGTAAAACCTCCTTGCTCGTCAGAGCTCTGTTGCCCCATGGATTTGTGGCCTCCCTGAGGGGGCGAGGCGGATCTGACATGTCTGGCACAGCTTTCTACCATGTTTCACATGGCGGTCCAGCTAAAACCCTCATTACTCTTTCTGCATACAGCAGGCCGATCCATTTGGCAACAATCTCTGCTCTCCCCATATTCCCGAACACTTCATCATGAATGATGGCAATGCTGAAGATGAAGACCTGATACCTCACTCCCATGAACTGTTTTAGATGATCATGCACATCTCCTGCTCTACGCATGCCTGAAAACGAATGCAAGAACTATCGTTCCAGCCCTTGCACCTGCCGTGGCGACGACACAGCTGCACTCTAAGGCGCATCATATTCATGAGTGAAGTCCCCGTTCCCTTGTGCAACTGGGAGACGTTACCTTGCAATCCTCTTCCTCAACCTGTGGACTCAGACATGGTCTCATTTTCTAACAGCCGCCGCTCTTGCAGAAGTTCCTTGAGACCCTGCCCTGCGATTTTGCTGTTGCTGTTCAGCTCACATTTTGGTCCATTATCTCGCTTTAGCAATCCAGCTAGGGTTGGCATCGTCGCTCCACATGCTGCCAGCCACTCTGTCTGTGTGAAACCCACAATCATAACACACATCATTTTGTCTCAGATCGTCATCTTGCACTTTTGTTTTTTGCAGGACATTCCTGCACTGCTTGCCTCGAGCTCTTGCGAAACAACTTCAACTCTCGCTGATCCTCACGAAAGTTTCATTCTCTCCCCACAGCAGTCTCAACTCGTCGTCGCGAAGCATTTAGAGCAATATCGAGCGAGCTGTATCCATGCATGAGAGCTTCTGTCGGCTGGCTTTTTCTGTTGAGCATAAGCTTCTGCAAGAATTGAAAATCATCAAGTATAGCCGGAGTGCAGTATCCCCAAACAGGGTTTTTAAACCCGCTGCGGTTTCCAAGATCGATTGCGTGCCCGTCCAGTGCGGGTTGGCATGGCATGTTGGAACATGACCACGTGATGTTTGCACATGAGATGTTTACACGAAAATTTGTGTGACGCATGCCTATCAGGAAGCTAACGCTAGAGGGTGTCGTACTCTCTCGCACCTGGTCGACGAGCGCGGGCTGGACCACCTCGCGCGCGGCATCTCGGACCCCAGAGTTGCGACGATGTCTCGGGCGAAACGTGCTGCGAGGAAGTCTCAAGCGAAACGGGCCGGACTACCTCGAGCGCGGCGTCTCAGAGCTCCGAGTTGCGGGGGCCTCCTTGGGCCTCCTGGGGACTTTCTGGGGCTTCCTCCTGGGCCTCCTGTGGCCTCCTGGGCCCCACCTGGGGCTTCCTGAAGCCTCTTGGGGCTCCCAGGGGGGGATATCTAACATGTGGCCGTCTGGGCCCCCCCAAATGGGGGGGGGGGGCCACAAGAGCAGGAAAAATCAACGAATCGACAGCGGATGCGTATTCAATTGACACGTTCTGATAGGGGGCCTCCTGGGGCCTCCTGGGAGCCTCCTGGGAATCTCCTGGTGACCCCTGGGGCCTGTCCTGGGCGTCCTGCGGCTTCCTGAAGCTCTCTGGGGCCTCCTGGGGCTCCCAGGGTCCCAGGGGGATATGTCACATGTGGTCTTCTGGCCCCCCAGGCTGGACCACCTCTTGCGCGGCATCTCAGAGCTCAGAGTTGCGAGAATGTCTTGTGCGAAACGGGCCGGACCACCTTGCGCAGGGCATCTCAGAGTTCACAGTTTCGAGGATGTCTCAGGCGAGACGGGCCGGACCACCTCGCGCAGGGCATCTCAGAGCTCAGAGTTGCGAGGATGTCTCAGCCGAAATGGGCTGGACCAACTCTTGCGCGGCAGCTCAGAGCTCAGAGTTTCGAGGATGTCTCAGGCGAAACGGGCCAGACCACCTCGCGCGCGGTATCTCAGAGCTCAGAGTTCCGAGGACGTCTCAGACGAAACGGGCCAGACCACCTCTCGTGCGGCATCTCGGAATGCAAAAGTGTGAGGATGCCTCAGGTGAAACGGGCCGGACCACCTCTTGGGCGGCATCTCGGGGCTAAGAGTTTGAGGGATGTCTCAAGCGAAACGGGCCGGACCACCTTGCGCACGGCGTATCAGGGCTCAGAGTTTGGAGGATGTCTCCTGGGACCACCTCTTGCGCGGCACTTGGGAGCTCAGAGTTTCGAGGATGTCTCAGGCGAAATGGGCTGGACCACCTCTTGCGCGGCATCTCAGAACTAACAGTTGCGAGGATTTCTCAGGGGAAACGCGCCGGATCACCTCGCAACTCTACGCTCTCTGATGCCGCCGCTCGAGAGGTGGTCCGGCCCGTTTCGCTTGAGACATCCTCCAAACTCTGAGCCCCAAGATGCCGCCCAAGAGGTGGGTCGGCCCGTTTCACTTGAGACATCCTCGCGCTTTTGCATTCCGAGATGCCGCGCGAGAGGTGGTCCGGCCCGTTTCGTCTGAGACGTCCTCGGAACTCTGAGCTCTGAGATGCCGCGCGCGATGTGGTCTGGCCCGTTTCGCTTGAGACATCCTCGCAACTCTGAGCTCTGAGCTGCCGCGCAAGAGTTGGTCCAGCCCATTTCGCCTGAGACATCCTCGCAACTCTGAGTTTTGAGATGCCATGCGCGATGTGGTCTGGCCCGTTTCGCCTGAGACATCTTCGCAACTCTGAGCTCTGAGATGCCCTGCGCGAGATGGTCCGGCCCGTGTCGCCTGAGACATCCTGGCAATTCTGAGCTCTGAGATGCCCTGCGCAAGGTGGTCTGGCCCGTTTCGCACAAGACATTCTCGCAATTCTGAGCTCCCAGCCTGGGGGGCCAGAAGACCACATGTGACATATCCCCCCTGGGACCCTGGGAGCCCCAGGAGGCCCTAGAGAGCTTCAGGAGGCCGCAGGACGCCCAGGACAGACCCCAGGGGTCCCCAGGAGATTCCCAGGAGGCTCCCAGGAGGCCCCAGGAGGCCCCCTATCAGAACGTGTCAAGTTAATACACATCCAGTGTCGATTCGTTGATTTTTCCTGCTCTTGTGGCCCCCCCATTTTGGGGGGCCCAGACGGCCACATGTTAGATATCCCCCCCTGGGAGCCCCAAGAGGCTTCAGGAAGCCCCAGGTAGGGTCCAGGAGGCCACAGGAGGCCCAGGAGGAAGCCCCAGGAGGTCCCCAGGAGGCCCCAGGACGCCCCAGGAGGCCCCCGCAACTCGGAGCTCTGAGGCGCCGCGCTCGAGGTAGTCCCGCCCGTTTCGCCTGAGATTTTCTCGCAGCACGTTTCGCACGAGACATCGTCGCAACTCTGGGGTCCGAGATGCCGCGCGCGAGGTGGTCCAGCCCGCGCTCGTCGACCAGGTGCGAGAGAGTACGACACCCTCTAGCGTTAGCTTCCTGATAGGCATGCGTCACACAAGTTTTCGTGTAAACATCTCATGTGCGAGCATCATGTTATCATGTTCCAACATGCCATGCCAGCCCGCACTGGACGGGCACACAATCGATCTTGGAAACCGCAGTGGGTTTAAAAACCCTGTTTGGGGATACTGCACTCCGGCTATAATTTTTTGGAGGTCTCTGCTTTGAATTCCTTCGGCCGGAGCTAGCCTCTATCACAACAGCACCCCGTTCAGCAAGCTGTTTAGGGAAAACACATGTTTGTCCAACATCCTGGCACTCCGATGATAAGCTAAATTGCTTGCCTGCCCGTGGGTGACCCATGCTTGAGCAATCTGGGCAAGAACCTTCAGCGTGCATCTTTGAGCACAACATCTCCTCCTCCTCCTCCTCCTCATCCTCCTCTTCCTCCTCCTCCTCCTCTTCCTCCTCTTCCTCTTCCTCCTCCTCCTCCTCCTCCTCCTCCTCCTCCTCCTCCCTCTCTGTCTCTCTCCCTGTCCCCCCTCGCGGCCCCCGAGCAGCCGCAGCTGGGACCGGGGGCACGGCGCAGGTGTGCGTGAAGATCGGGCATCCAGGCGTGGCGGAACTGGCCGAGATCGACTTGGACAACATCGAGTTTCTGGTAGGGCGTGGTGCCCAGACCCCCATCGGGTCCTGAAACATTCATAAGGGGGAGCCTTACCAGCCCTCGGGACCGTCACAGAAGGACTCGGGACGAAACACTGGCCCCCCGGGAATGGGTCCAGACCGCTGGGGGTCCACGTCACGAGAACTTCATGACGTCGGGGGTCTGGGTGAGGAGGTTGGGGGTGTTACGGGCAGCTTCAGGGGGGGATGGGCTCAGGGGGGGATGCATCGACCCCCAACATTCCACGGATCGCCGAAAGGGGCCCGATGGCTCACCTGCCCAGGACCATGCGGTTTCGCTTGGAGGGCCGATCGCCGATCTATCGGCGATGTATCGCCAGTTCCAGGTTTGTAGTTCCTCCCCTGAAGCACTTCCTCCCCATCGCTGCCCCTCAGGTGAGCAGGGATGGAGAGGGGGGAAGGGTGGATGAGGTTCAGGGGGAGGGCTAGAAGCAGAGAGAATGGTCGAGCGCCTTCAGGGTGCCCAAATAATTCTACGAGGCCCCAGTGAGGGTTCTGGAGAGGGCTTTGAGGTTTTTTGTGTCCGCACATGGAGTCCGTATGTGTGTATTCCAGCGTATCCGTAAGTCTAGCACTGATACATACCGTAGTCATGCTTGGTGATGTTGGAGCCCACCAGCATGGATCTGTAGTGTTCGATCTTGTTGTGTGCACCTTTGTTCTTGTAAGCTCTGCAGGGATACATCCTTTTGCGCGTAGGGGTTCTTGTTGTAGTGATGCCGGCGTTATATAAGGCGGATTCAAGTGTCGTGCCATCGGCTGTACGGCTGCGGCACCCAGATCGTCGCATAGTCCTTCTGGTCTTGCATCGCGATCTCCAGCTCCTGTAGCCAGCAGCGTAGTTAGATTGTCTCGGGGTATCACCGTGTCGGGGTTCACGTGACTGCATGTAGTAAGGTGTAACCCTCGGTTGTGGTGGTTGTAGGTGCCCGTCAGCTCCGTCAACTCCATGGCCTGGGCTCGCTCGATCTTGGCAAAGTGGTTTATCTTTTGCTGTCCCCAATTGCCAATCTTCTTTTATTGGGCGTCCGTGTTCGTCGCGACGCAATGGCGCAATATGTGTCGTTTGGTTGTTTTTCTTCTTGTACCCGGCCGCTCGGAGTGGTTTGTGCGTACACCCCCAGGTATCTTTGACATTGTCTTTGTTTGCTGCCTCGGCGAGGTTTGCAGCTGTTGACATCGGTCGTTTTCCGGTGCTTCAGACAGGGCAAAACGGGCGATCATCAAAAATAGTTTATCCTCGCAATCATGATTCCCGCGTCGTTTTCCAGTTGCGGTATGGTTTGCTGGCCTTGCCAGCGTGAACACATGGGTCCCTCTCGCCTTCGGGGCGCGGCACGCGGGAAATCACGTGGATCCCATTCGCCTCAGGGCAGAGCAATCATAAAAGCACTTGGTCGGCGTCCCCCCAACATACTTATACTATGTGTTCGTCGCCCCCCCAGGGGCGACGCGCGAACCGAGAAATCTTATAGTATATGCGTCGTGGCGGGCGCTTTCTGGCCACACCGCTCGAGAAACGGTATACTACAAGATGGGTATACTATATGTTCGGGTCGGACGCGCGCCTCCAAGGCGGACACATAATATTAGTATGTCTCTGTGCATCCCACTTGGGTCCCATTCGCCTCAGGGCGGAGCAAGCGTGAGAGCACTCCCTCTACGCTTGCTCCGATTCGGGACGACGGGGGCCCACGTGTTTTTTCACGCTTGCTGCGCTCGGGGGCGAAAGGGGCCCCACGTTTATCAGGAGGGAAAAAAAACACACACACACACAATTAATCGGCGATTCCCAGAAAATATGGGAAAATATGGGAAGTGGGGGAAGAGAAGAACCCTGAAAATATGTGAAAATATGGGGGAAAATTTTATTTGTGTGTATTTATTTGTGTGTCCCAGTTCCCCTTCAGTTGAATTGACTGCGCTCGAGAGTGAAGATGGACCCGCGTCATGGCAGGCCTGCTGCGCTCTGGGTCGACATGGGCACGCGTCGTTGTCACGAGTCATGGCCACTCAGGGGCGGCCTCCCCCCCTCCCAGACGTGGGGAAGCGCGCACGAGCAGAGCAGACTCAACGAGTCGGCACTGGACGTAAGTCGGGCGTGTCCCTCTACAGGAGGAAAATTCAAACATAGTCAGAAGATAGTCAGGGGACTATGTTTAGTATGTTTTGACAATTAGGGAGCATTTGTTGTGTATTCCCCCACATGCCTAGTGGGGTTCTGGTTATCTTCTCTGCCTCGTCGCACCCGCGTCTCCCGAACCTCCCTCCTCCCCTTCTCACACAGCGCAGCACAGCACAGCACAGCTCAGCTCAGCTCAGCACAGCAGAGCACAGCACAGCTCAGCTCAGCTCAGCACAGCACAGCATAGCAGGAGGGGCATTTCCCGACACCGTAGGGGGTGCGCAGGGGGTGGTCCGTGAGCGCGGCCGCTATCCGAGCTGGTCGTCCAGGGCATAGCAGGAGTGGCATTTCCCGACGCCGTAGGAGGTGCGCAGGGGGTGGTCCCTGAGCGCGGTCGCTATCCGAGCCGGTCGTCCAGGGCATAGCAGGAGTGGCATTTCCCGACACCGTAGGGGGGGGCGCAGGGGGTGGTCCCTGAGCGCGGCCGCTATCCGAGCCGGTCGTCCAGAACATAGCAGCAAGAGTGGCATTTCCCGACACCGTAGGGGGTGCGCAGGGGGTGGTCCCTGAGCGCAGCCGCTACCTGAGCCGGTCGCCCAGGGCATAGCAGGATTTCATTTCCCGACGCCGTAGGGGGTGCGCAGGGGGTGGTCCGTGGGCGCGGCCGCTATCCGAGCCGGTCGTCCAGGGCATAGCAGGAGTGGCATTTCCCGACACCGTAGGGTGTGCACAGAGGGTGGTCCCTGAGCGCGGCCGCTATCCGAGCCGGTCGTCCAGGGCATAGCAGGAGTGGCATTTCCCGACACCGTAGGGGGTGCGCAGGGGGTGGTCCGTGAGCGCGGCCGCTATCCGAGCCGGTCGTCCAGGGCATAGCAGCAGTGGCATTTCCCGACACCGTAGGGGGTGCGCAGGGGGTGGTCCCTGAGCGCGGCCGCTATCCGAGCCGGTCGTCTAGGGCATAGCTCGAGTAGCATTTCCCGACACCGTAGGGGGTGCGCAGGGGGTGGTCCCTGAGCGCGGCCGCTATCCGAGTTGGTCGTCCAGGGCATAGCAGGAGAGTGCGGCCGCTATCCGAGCCGGTCGTCCAGGGCATAGCAGGAGTGGCATTTCCCGACGCCGTAGGGGGTGCGCAGGGGGTGGTCCCTGAGCGCGGTCGCTATCCGAGCACGTCGTCCAGGGCAGAGCAGCAGTGGCATTTCCCGACACCGTAGGGGGTGCGCAGGGGGTGGTCCCTGAGCGCGGCCGCTATCCGAGCCGGTCGTCCAGGGCATAGCAGCAGTGGCATTTCCGACACCGTAGGGGGTGCGCAGGGGGTGGTCCTTGAGCGCGGCCGCTATCCGAGCCGGTCGTCCAGGTCATAGCAGCAATGGAATTTCCCGACGCCATAGGAGGTGCGCAGGGGGTGGTCCCTGAGCGCGGCCGCTATCCGAGCCGGTTGTCCAGGGCAAGGCAGGATAGCATTTTCTCGACACCGTAGGGGATGCGAAGGAGTATATCAATGGCGAGGGGGAGAAGAGGAGGAAGAGGAGGAGGAGGAGGAGGAGGAGGAGGAGGAGGCTATCAGCACTCCAGCCATAATATAAGTATGTGGGGATCCTCGGTAGAGTAATTTTTATGTTTCGTCGAAATTCCCCCTGTAGGGGGACAGGCCCGACTTAACACTAGACGCACAGTCACTTGGCACGTTCCGTCTTGAGGCGTCGGGGAGGCTTCCTGGGGCTTCCTAGAGGGGACCCACGCGTTTTCGCCCTTGCCCATTTCATGCCAGGGCTACAGGGACCCGCGTGCTTTCACGTTTTCTCCGCTCTGGGGCGAAAGGGGCCTCTATAGTTCCCACGCCTGCTGCGCCCTGGGGCGACAGGGACCCACGTATGTTCGGGGCGAAACAGGCCCATGTGCTTTCACGACTGGCCCGCTCTGGCGCGAAATTGACCCGCGTGAGCGAAGATTCGGGGATCGACGACCCTCAGAAGGTCGCCACCTCCACCTCCTCCTCCCTCCTCCTCCTCCTCCTCCTCCTCCTCCTCCTCCTCCTCCTCCTCCTCCTCCTCCCTCCTCCCTCCTCCCTCCTCCCTCCTCCCTCCTCCCTCCTCCCTCCTCCTCCCTCCTCCCTCCTCCCTCCTCCTTCCTCCTCTTGTCACGTCTGCTCCGTTCTGGCGCGCGCGGGGCCCGGGTGCCTCCACGTCGGCTCCACGCTGCCCAGGCGGCTCTTGAACACGAGGATGCGCGGAGGGTGCCTCAAGCGAGCCGCGGGTCTCCGCGTGCCCAGGTCGCCCAGGCGGACCAAAGACACGAAGTCGGGCCCGTCCCTCTACAGGGGGAATGTTCAGAAATAGTCAAAGAATAGTCTGGGGTCTATTTTTCACCACATCCTGAGTGGGGTTCTTGTTTTCCCAGAACATCCTCTCCTCCTCCTCCTCCTCCCGCTTCCTCCACCATCCCATACTGTATCATACCATACCAATGCCATGCCACTCCATACCATACCTTACCATACCATACCATGCATCCACCATCCCATACCATACCATGGCTTTCCTCACACCATGTTATTTATCAGGTTTCGTGCCCCTCCCACCCCTCCAGGGAGGCCCCGCCTGAGCGAGCAGGGCATTCGCACACCCTGTTATTTATCAGGTTTCGCGCCCCTCCCACCCCTCCAGGGAGGCCCCGCCTGAGCGAGCAGGGTATTCGCACACCATGTTATTTATCAGGTTTCGTGCCCCTCCCACCTCTCCAGGGAGGCCCCGCCTGAGCGAGCAGGGTATTCGCACACCATGTTATTTATCAGGTGTCGTGTCCCTCCCACCCCTCCAGGGAGGCCCCGCCTGAGCGAGCAGGGTATTCGC